AAAAAATAGTATATTAACCACGGCTGCAAAGCCACTTCTAGACCTCGCACTTAGAGCCCTCGACGCTGCGCGTCTCGGGTTCTAATTTGCGCTCGGTCTAGAATGCTTGGCTCTGCAACCTTGGCTAATAATATACTATTTCAGAACCAATTTGAAACTATTTTAACTGGATGTTTAAACATTTTGGAGTAAAGAATTATTTTAAATGGTAGTAATTATTAGTCATTTTGTATTAAACGAAGTAGGTAAGTACTAGTAGTGTTACAGTGTGGGATACTGAATTCATTCGATGGAATTCTTTTACGAAACATTTTAATGCAGACTGGGATCATTATTTATAATAACATCATCTAATTTATTTTAATAAGGCGCTTCAATCCTCTAATCGTTTCATTATTAGGATCCATTACTGACCCGGTAATGACAGGCATTCAGGCAAGACTTCTATCATTACGCATACTAAGACAACAAGATTAAAAAAACATAATTACAAAATCAAACGTCTTATTTCCAGCCCCTGAATTGAAAATATTAATAAAAGTCCATCCTGAGAAAAATCTCTGATGGGATAAGAACCAAATGTCCTAAAAGTGTACAAATTTTAAAAATATTCTTTGCACTCTCTAGTTTGAGAGATGAGCGGCTTGCTGGGCCGAAAATGCTTGCTGTTTATGAATCATAATGCTTTGAAAGCTGATGATACTGTTGAAACATAATATTCTGAAAATGATAACTTATCATCAAAAATAATTCCCAAATCTTTATTAGTGTCGAACCATTGAAATATTAAGAGATAGTCATTTTTGGAAGCACCTAAATTCAACTTCCCTCAGGTCTGACTGAAGTTTAAGGTGGTCATAATAATAAGAGGATATTTTTCTAAATATTTTCAAGTTGTCAGCCTATAGAAAGCATTGAGAATCCAAATTGGAGACTAGATCATTAATAAACATAAGGAAAAACAAGGGTATGAGAATTGACCCTTGTGGAACATCGCAGCCGATGTTCTCTGTCTCGTTTTTATTCCTTTTCTAGAGGAAAGTTAAGACATTGGATTGTTGCCGCAGAGATGGATATATTCCAGAGCTAAGGTAAAGACTGAAGATAACCATTAACGGAAAAGCTAAGATGCTTGCACATTCCCTCAATAGGAAAGACCGTTAGGTCCCGATGCCATTTTGTTTTTTATTTTCTATAAAACCTTGTATGTCTCTTGTTCACTTGTTGTAGAAGTTGGGGTACAGTGATAAGAAAAAATTGTACCAGGGGGTCTGGATGGAATAAAAGATTTTTGAAAACAGTCGGCAAAAGAATTAACAATGTCCGTTGAACCACTTATAATCTTATTGTTGTAAACCATCGAATTCGGTGTTACATTTTCTTGTTTAAAGAAATAAAGATTCGGGTCAGAAGTAATGTTGTTTTTCATATTTTGAATATGGGTAACATAAGATAGTTTGATCTCGTTTTTTATCTCCGGTTACATGTTTTTAAATTTGGCTTTTGAACAATTTGCCATTAAACCATGACGGGTACTGGCGTTTTTAGAAACGTCTGATTTAGAGGGACAGAACTCTAAAATATGCTGTTAAGTCTGAAGTAAAAACAAGAGCAGGCAGTTTCAACATCAGTACAGTTGGCAATCATGACATAATTTGTGGAAGTTGTTTATTTGATAAAACTAAATTTAATAATATTCTATCACAATTATGTATTTGTAATGGAATTATATTGATGATAATGAGTTAGATCTAACAAGTCGAGTAGTGAATTAGTTTTTGCCTCATTTAATTGAGGGTTTAATAAGTAATCAGAATAACTTGGTATATTGAAGTCCTCTAGGATGATTATGTTATCACCAAGTAATGAACATAATGAAGAGAAAAGTTCAAAAAAAGTTCTATATCTCTGGCACTCGAATTCTATTTGTATGTTGATAAGTCAACTTCAAAAAGTGCTTGAAAGATCGTTTTATTCTTTTTTATAGGACTAAATTTTAGGAAATTACAAGCAGAGTTGTCATCAAATATGGATTCATTTTGTTTTTTCATATAAGCAAGTAGATCTTTTGATTCTATGTATATGTATAATCGGGGATATCGACTATTCTAAATTTAGGTCATTGTTATTACACCAAGGTACATTTTTGTAAATGTACATTAAGTGGACATTTTGTTTATCATTCACCCTCAACAAAATGGGAAATTTGTTTTAAATTGTAGGAATTATCACATTTTTCAACTTTTCCAGTGTTGACGTCTTTGAGAGGAACAATATTTTTCATGATCAAATTTTGTTTGTTAGCAGACTGTTTATCGTCTTTCGGCTTTACTACTATTTTCTTCAGAAGAGTTCCGAATTGTCGCTTTTAGTTAAGAAATTGTATCTATTATTTGTTTTACATGTTTGGACACCATGTTGTCAATCATTTTTATTGCCTCAGGTGGTAAACTAGCGTCACTGGAAATAGTTACCGGATTGACCATATTAGGATTAACAACATGGAGAGAAGCATTTGAGCAAAAAAGTAGAAAGCCAGTTATTGAGTTTATCTAATTCTTTCAACTTACAAAAATCCTCATCAATCGTTACACAATTGCAATGAAAGTGTAATTTGCACGCCTTACACGATATAATAATTTTCAGTCCGGGTGATAGTACAATTGCATTTAGAACATTTGATTTCCATCGCTGGTACTCAAGAAAACAAAGACCGCAGTGCTGATAAATCACACTGTTCCCCCTTCCAGGGTCAGGTAGCGATAGGATTATACCTATGCAAAAACTGATCAACAAAAAATGGACGCACTTTGAAATGAAGCAAGAACAATAAAAATTTACAAGTGTAGGTCACTTACCGACCCCCATTTAAGGGGGTGTCGATGCAGTATGTAAGGTATCAATCAGTTTGTTAGTTTCCAAAAAAAAACAACTTAGCGAAAAACCCACAAAAATTGAAGATTAAAGGAGCCAGCGTTACAGCCACACACACGACCACGCTGTCAACGTTATACTTTTCGTATTTCACATTAGTTGTTGTTTTCTGCCATCTGTGGGCATTGTCTGTTACAGTTTGGGAAATTTAAACTAATAGATCTAATTTTTATAATGTTCCCAAAGATTATCACAAAAATTTTAGATTCTGTCAAAACACGTCGGTATTTTCTAAGCACCTTGTTTAAAGTGCTGTTGTTTTTTTCTGCGTATCAGGCAATAAACACTAATTTTTATTTCCAAAATTGACCGGTTGAAATAGATGTTTTTTTTCCAAATTTCAAGGATACATTGGGATTTGGCTTTATAAATAAGATATCTAGTACCCTCGGAATGATTAAAATCATGTTTTCAAATTCTACATGACTGTGAGTCTTGAAGGTTCACATGGATATCGTTAGCTCCATCTGAGAATTTAATTTATCAGTACAATTAAAATTTTCCTAAATACACTCAACTAGATTAGTCGTAACTCTTTACATTTAGCCAGATTTTCCAATTTTAAGTTCTCACCCTCACCGCTAATGCTACGTTTCTCAGAAATTAGAAATGTCTCTAATTTTGGCAGTTTCTTTAAAGTGTTTTCAAGTTCTTGTTTTTTCTGAATTTTAATTTTTTTCTTGTGGGCACCATTAGTATTTTTTACTCATGATGAAAGTTTTATTATACTACAAAGAACTCAAAACCATATAGTATGTACTGAATGAGCTAAGTAAACATCAAAAATGCTGTACAAACAAAACTCTGAAATGAATCCATGTATCATTAATTAAATTGTTGTCGGCCCGAGACTCCACAAAGAAAATTAAATTTAATAATAATTTTTCCATTAACTAAATCAACAAATTTCATTTTATGAGCAGACATATTTCCCAAGCTGCCAAATTTATATTCCGTTTAAGAAAACGGGATTGTTGGATTTGACAAAATCCATTAGATACGTGAAATTTTTGAAAAAAATCTCTTGTGTGAGGTTGTCTTCCTTTTGAAGAATTAAGTTCGTCAGAACGTAATTATTAGTACTAAGAATACGAGTATGATGTATATTTTCTAAAATATTTTGATATTTTCATGTTTATTTTGGTGTATGTATATGTATAAAATTTCATTAATCTATGCAAACATTTTTTTCATTGGTCCATATTTTTTTACAACATGAAGTGTAAAAGCCCCGGAAAGAAATAATTAAAAAGTCTGAAATTGGTTAAGAGAGCTAATTCCTTCATGATGGCATTGGGGTTAATAAAACGAACTCTCTCAGTTGAGATGCCTCTAGCTTCAGCTAATTCATGCATCTTCATTTATCTATTGGTCAAAACCCTATTATGAACTTTGTCAATGGTTTCTGGTATGACGACAGTTTTTGGTCCTCCTGAACGTGATGCGTCTGCAGTGGATGTTCTTCCGCGCTTGAACGGATTAATTCAAAGGCGAATAGAACGAAAAATCCTTTCCTAGATTCCTTTAGCAGATTTCCCTTCCAGAAAGAAGAACTGAATCATACAACGAATTGCAATGTTTTCCTTATTTAGACAAAAATAATTGGGCACACTAGTATTCAATTAATTCCTAAAGGAAGAATTATTGACGGAATGACTTGCCATTAAAGAAACGTCATCTTTGTGAAGCCTATTTGGACATATGCAATTATTGCCTTTTCTTTTTTCACCCTCCAAGACGATGCGAACTAAGTTATTCATCAAACCACCCTACGATGCAACACAGAGAGACACATACTTCAGCAGTCTAACATAGCTAAGAAGTAAAAACCATCCTGATCAAACCAAGCCATATTAAAATCGGTTCATTCGTTTGAGAGATACGGTGAAACAAACAGACATACAGAGAGAGACAAAGGGGTCAAAAACACCTGTCTTTTTCAGTCGTGGGTTAAAAATGCATGATATTCTGTATTCATTCTAGCGATTTCTTATCAAAGTTTGACGAAATTCTGGTAATGTTAAAATGTGAGATTATTATTTTCCATTAGGTACTAGTTTTAGGGATGCCATATAATCTTTCTATTTAAATTTTACTTGATCCTTGTTCTTTCAAAATTGCATAATCGTGATTCTTATGGAACTTAGTCGCTATTGCTCGATCTTATGCCTATAGCAACATCCTTGAAACTAGTTACAACTTATTACGAGGATTAACGATCTTGCCTACTGTCTCGGAAGACCACTTGAGTCTACTCGCTTCAGAAGAAGACCGGATAAGTGCAATCTGCAACCTCTGATAGACCTAAAAAGAAGTCGCTAATTCGAGAATACATTTATTTTCATCTTACTCGTCCGTCAGACTTCCCCAAAATGGAATTCAAAAGAAAATCCGGAGGCGCTATAGCATCTATTAAGGCAACAGCATCATTTTTAAGATCTCTGCACAAAGTTAATACTGCTTCGTGTACTAAATTTGTAGCTTCAGGTTTTTCAACGTAACCACCCCCAAATAATGACGGTAAAAATTTTTCAATATTGTAAAGACCATACAGAGAGAAAAGTTTCAACAAAACATTTCTGATGTTAGCGTCTGGCGATCTGTTTATAACTGTTATCATTCGTTGAAGGAACAAATGCTGCAAGCTCAAAGCACTGATTGACTGTTTTTAATAATATTTGGTTTACCTGAACGAACGCTGTGCTCAAATTCTTGCAGTAGAAAATCTGAGTGTTGCTTCTAGCCCAAAATGACCCTTCACTTTGTTTCAAAGCGTCAAATTTTCTTTTAGTTTCTCGCAAGAGATAACACACTAGCCACTGGTAGGTATCTATTATATCTACAACCAAATATTATCTTACCTGTTTCGACTATCGACAACTTACTTTCAACTTTGCAAACTTCGACCACACTGGTTGCATTGAACTTATTTTTGAGAATTTTTGAAGCGTTTGATAAGAAATCTGCTGACTTTAAATGGGTTGAAATTTTATTACCATTCTGGACGTTTGAGCAGACCTTCAGTAACCAGTTGCTTACTTGTTGGATTAGCACGTGGTTTTCGCCTTCGTACGTGTTAATGCTATCTTGGTCGTTCTTGATGTCGCCAATTCTAGAAGCTACGACAACTTTTCAACTACCAAAAAAAAGTTGAGTTTGTGTCACCTTTAAGATAACCATATCCACCGCAAGCTTCTCTACATTCTTGTATGGCATCTCTGAACGTCCATCCGGACACAGGCTTTGCACCCGCAGATATTACGTGAATTTCCATACCTCGTCTGGCCAACGCTGGGTCGTTCCGTTCCTTCGACTCTTTGACAAATTCTTGTGTTACTTCGTCTAAGTACATACTAAAAAATCTGATGATGTAGGCGGCAGCCAAATACGGCAGAAGTCGATATTGCTGCAATTTTTTTTTAAGTATAGACAAAAACAATCATACGACGTAAAGATTTACCATAGATTGGTATTCTAGAATCGAGACTTCTTCATCTTTCGGGCCGAACTGTTTTCTAACAGCCGCGTATCTCACAGCTATAGTAAGTGCTTTCGTTCCATAAAATTCAGATTTCGCAGTAACAGTAACCCTCGCAATGGACAAAGCACCCAAAACGGCTCCACGTACATTTTTCAGGTCAGTAGCAGACGTTACGTAGTTTCCTTCAGGTGTGACGTCAGCAAATCTGTTCAAGATGTTTTCGCGAGGGAAGCGGTATTTGTCAAAAATGAGAAACCTTATTCGAAAAGTAAAAAATGGTTTCATGACATTCCGATTTTGTGTTTTGCTACTAACCCATTATCAGCTCCATTGACTCCTATTTTTTCGCCCATGTCGCCTAGAATTACCCCTTCGTACGGCAAGAGTGTCTCGGGATTTCTGATGGGCACAACAAATCCATGCAAACCCCAGTGGATCCTGTTTATGTACAACTGAGCATACACTATGGCATGGGTTGCTAGTTCTGCCAACCCACCAGCCCAACATTTCGCTGCTGGAAAATCCGGCGTGTTTACTACGAACTCGCCTTTTTCTTTATCGTAGACAACAGTTGTTCTCAGATTTTTGGTGTCACTTCCGTGGCCGATTTCCGTCATACAGAAACATCCGTAAATCTACAGGATTTAATTCTAATTGTATGGAAAACAATGAGGTAATGTACGAACCTTTCCCGATTCTGCTAGCTGTATGAATTTGTGGTGTCTTTGGGTTCCTTGGTTCTGTAAAGCACTGGTGAATAAACGTTTGATTCCTGGGTATTTGAAGGCTGCCGAAGGGTTGAATTGGAGTATGGTTCGCAAAATGATGTCTTCTCTTTTTATGGTGGTTATCTCACTATTGGTTAAAGATTTAACGATGCTGGCATATGCGAGGGCTTGCTGGGTAGCTTTATTCCTTTTTTCGTCCAGAGTTTGCAAAAGTGGGTTTCCCAGGAATTCTGGGTGCATCTGGAGCTTTTTATAGAGATTGTTCTGCAAATTAAGTAGGTGGATCGTTTTTAAATATTAGAAAGAGCAATTAATACTGAGAAGAAGACACATAATGGAAACTACCTAAGGAAGTTTTTTGAATTTAATGTTCTTAGGGAATATTATGTGATTTCTGTTCATCTTTTGGTATTCTAGAAAATATTTTACACAATAAGATATGGCACACTTCAAGGCACGTTTTTTGTTGAATTAGGTGAAGTGAACAACGTGTTTGAATTTACTACAACTACTACTACTTTAACTACAATTGGGTATACCTAAAGCTTACCTGAAATTTGATGCCATCTTCCGTGTCTATAAAAACTTTCATTCTCTTCCAGTCGAAGGAGGCTTGCTTCCTGTAATAGTCGAGCGATCCCGGAGGTAAGTCTTGCAATAAATGGGACATTCTCAGTCTGTACGTGTAGGTTAATCCAATGAATGATCCACAGTCTCGTAAGTTCCGAATTTATAGTTGAATTTGCACGTGCGTCAATAATTTGTTACATAATGGTAAAGAAGGCGACCGTGAACTACATATTTACGGCTATGATTTAAACGGTCAACAAAATATTGAAGTTTTAGTCAGCTCTAAAATGTATTAAACACTCACTTATGGTCAGCAAACACGCAAGCAACGTGTAAGCCACATTTAAAAACGTTTTCGCAAGCTGTAAAATTTACTTTGTTCTGCGTATAACTTGTATTACGTCTTAATCTTAACGCATATTCGTTTTAGAACAAAGAACTCTAGTTGCCTGCGACTGCTATCTCTAACCCTGATGCGAATGCACTTATTTACATTGGCCTACTTCTAGATGCATCGCAAATTCGTCTTAGAGCAACGAACTTTCTTTGTTTCGTACTCGTTATCAACCCTCGACTGTTGATTGACCTGTAATTCTGATGCAAGCTCTTACAACAGCCCATGTGCAGCTTATCTTCGCCAAAGGAGGTCAAATCTCAGTACATAAGGGAGAAGAATGGGCAGAAGATTCATTCGTTCATTGTAATTACCGTAATTAATAAAACAACCATCTGGATCGTTAAATTTATATTTTAACAGCAACAAAACCACGCAACCTCCTTGCCGCGTCCAGTTGAATAATGTAATGATAATGACTGACTTCTCTGCCATGATTTTATTTGATTAACTACAAAATACAGAACATCGAAAAATATAAATTTTATTGAAAACCAAACAGTGAAATTAGGTATGTATTATAAAAAATTGATACGTTTGGATTTGAATGGCCGTCCTCGTTTTCTTTTTTCCCACATTGGAATATTTTTTGCCTCAGCGGGAGGAACCACGTATTTCAAACGGATAGTCAATCCATTTGCATGTATAATATACATTTTATAAAATGCTAGGCAGTTACATTTTGCCTTCCTCCAATCCTCTCTATTAATTGGCAGTGAAACTAGATACGTGCTAAATTCTCTTTTTTGAAATCGTCAAAGATTTCCCAATGCTTTTCAAAAACTTCATAAGCAGTTGCTTGACTGGTTGGGATTTGATAATAAGTACCTATTATTTTTATGATTTCGTGGCATAGACACCTCTTTTGTGTTTTATAAATTTAAATCTTAAGGAAAACCAGATCCTGTTTAGACTCAAAGAGTACACCGAAATTTTTACGTAAGAACTAAAAACGATATATTGAAAAAGATATGGTTCGTACAGAGATGCTCATAGAATCTAAAACTATCTAATATAAAAATTATAACATTTTTGTATACTATATTTTGTGAAATGTGTCAGCCACAAACTAAGAATTTTACCTCTATTCGGTCAGAGATTATAAGACCTAACATAGCTTTAAAATCTTGCCCCGCAGTTCGGTCGTGGATTACAAATGTACTCCAGTTCGGACCAGCCGATCTAAGCTACATACTGATTAGTGTTACTGCTGTAAATATGATAGTTTTGGATAAGTTTGAACTTTATTGCGTTTTTCTTAATTTGTCATCAGTGATATAGAAGTTGATTATGTCATTTCATGTACATTGTTTATTTCAATAAAAATTTGCTCCAAAATGAATCCTTATTTTATTGTACCTACTTCAGAGAAGAGAACGAGAAACTGTTTACTCGCGGTCGGTGTTTTCAGCTTGGATTAGTCACATAATTTGTGTGTTCCACATCTTTGTATTTATTTATTTAAATAATGTGAAATATTGAATATTACATGGGTAAACAGTAAGTGAAAATTACCACTAATTGAGGCATACGCATCTACTTCGATTTTATTTAAATATATCTACCTACCTACATACCAAAATTGTATCTCCTTAATAAAACGTGGAACTGCGAATATTGGTTGTTTTAGAAGACAAAGACAAACATCTTTCCATGTAAATTTATGGGGCTTTATTTTAAATTTGAACAAATAATCAAACATCAGTAAAACTTTAGAGAGTGGAAAATGATTTTAGTAGGATTTACTCATTTTCAGCATTTGATTGTTATTATGCAGCACAGCCGCTAATCAGATAATAATTGGTTAAATGAGCGGAAAATAACAGTTTTATTTTTATGGCCACCCGTTGTAGTCACATTGTCCCACCTGATATATATCTTGAAACATACCCGAGCATCCCGGCTCAAATTAGATATAAAGCAGTGGGGGGGGGGGGGGGGGTAACTAATTTCTAGAGCATGCACATTTCTACCTCTTATTCTACCCTCCTCGTTCCTACCCAACACCAGGTAATTTTATAATATTTTCAAAGACATAGACGTAATAATTTTATATGTGGAAAATTCGATTAACCTAGCTAAAATTAACTTTGGAAGAGTAAAAAAAGTACTAATCACGGAAGATAGCGACATCTCAGGAAATAAGCAAAAAATCAAAAACATTATTATTATACAAAATAATAATACGCCGAATTGTGGAGTTGAACCTTGATCATTCATCAAAGCAAAAGAAAACAGATTTTTACTGGTCGAAAAAAAAAATTTAGGAGCGGGTCTGAGCGCCAATTTTAGCAATGGGCAACCTGTGTTTCAAAGCACCCGAGAGGCGGTGTCCTCTAACCGTGAATCATTATTCATGATATACACCGGTCCATTGTTTAAAGTTCTGCAAAATTCTACTCTGTACTGTAGGGAAATACGTAAGTTGTCTTTTTCTACCTAAGTCGAATATACTACAACAGCAATGATAAATAAAATATCTGAAGGACCATATATGATGTCCACAGAAAAAACGTAAAGAGAAAACTGAGAGTTTTGTAATATCCATTAAATTTGTTAGCACTTGGTTGTAAAGTGGATGTACCATCGGTGGAAATAAAAAACTGGGACACTGAAAATTTTTGCATTGTAAACAGCTCTTTAAAATGTAATGTTTAATGAAATTTAAAAAATGTCCCTTTGATTAATGTCAATTGCCAATTCAAAAATGCCAAGTTTGAATGAAGTTCAAAAGCAAACTATTGCGCAACGTTTAAAGGATGGGGTCTCAATTAGAGCAATAGCAACTGAGTTGCATATCAGCAAGAATACTGTCCTACTGGCGAAAAAAAAAATTAACATGGTAGAATTGACCCTTTTCCTATAAGATCGTAAAACTTCCATAGTGACTTTCCGTGCGCACGCATCTTCAACATCACGTTGGAAATAGTATCCGGCACTTCGGCAGCAGAGCAAAGGCCTGTGACAATGCAACCGGCTCCACATGCGTAATCGGTCGCTCATTGGTTAATTTTAACTTGGCGCTCTAAAAATCTGACTTCGCCTGCGCGATGTTGTCTCACTCTGTATCATTGGAATTTATATAATGTCTACTCAGTTTGCTTACAGGAAAAGGGTCAATTATCAGAAGAGCGGGGTCGGCTTGTCCAAAAGAAAACGACTGCAGACGAAAACATTCAATTGACAAATTTCATTCGAGAATATCCTTACGAAACAGTGGTTAAGGCAAGGCAGTAAACCAATTTCCCTCCGCCACTGAAAACAGCCCGGAAGAGAGTCCACGAAACTGAATTAAGAAATCGGGCTGCTGCCTATAAAATATTTTTAACTGAGCAAAACAAGGCAAATAGGGTATTATTTGTTCAGGAATTTGTCAATGAACCTGCAGATATGTGGGATAATGTGATATTTTCCGACGAAAAAACATTCAAATCATATACAGGGTGCCGCATCTAGGTCTGGATATAGGGAATTAACATGGGAATTGGTTTTTATTTTATAATATCTCCCCAGATCACGTTAAAGCTATTATTGAGTGATGCCTTTGTGGAGGTCGAAGAGGGCTATCGACCAGTATTTTTTTCAAATCGTTTCATCGCGCTCATTCACTGTAAAAAGGTTTTAAAACACTGCTCTGTCGTACTGTCGAAGTTCGGCGATCGCGTCTTTCCATTAATTAATTATTAACCATGCAAAATCCAAACGTCAGAGTGAAATTATAAATTATTCTCAGAAATCAACGAACAACTCAAATTGAATTATTTTATCCAGTGTGATGATTATTGTAGGTCAATTTATAATAAATGCACAAACTGCACAAAATATATTATTAGGTTATGCTATGTTCTACTGCGACTAGATGGAAAAGCGGGGGCCTGCATGTTCTTCAACGGGTTAATTTAATTAGTAGGTAATTTGGATAAATTTCACACTTTTTTTTCGAATCACTAAAGCCACTGGTCAACAAAATTTAATTTTTTCTCTCTAACTTTGACATAATTGTAATGTTTTCGTTTAATTTGTCTCTGTGTTTGTAACAAAGAGCATAAATCTTATAACTTAGCTCAATTAAAAAAAATATGCATATTTGATGTTTGAAACAGAAAATCAGGTAAAACAATTTAATTTTTGTATCTTTAACGGCAAAAAGTGTAGTATTAACAAAAGAACAACCTTAAATGAGAAAAAAACAACGAATGTAGTTTAAAAAACGAAAAAAACAAAAGAAACAGCGAAGACCGACGTTTTTTCGGTTGCCTCCTATAGATTTTATTGGAGATCTCTCGCTTGATGGTCCCGCAGTATTCTGCGAGCATTTAGGTGTCATTTAGGTATTCCATCGATCTTGGTAACGTTTTTCTATCGACAAAATGCCCAGATGGATGCGTTCTCTATGATGGTAACTCACGTCGTCAAAATTTTTGGGGAAAAAATCAAGGTGCGAGTGTATAAAATGCACTTTTAAGAATATGTTAATTTTAAATTTTTTATATGATGATAACATGTCTTCTACTTACTAAACGTAGTTTTCTTATTGTTTCCCAAGAAGTTTGTAGTAATTTGATTACAAAAAAATACACCTTATAGTAAGTTTCCTATTACTTAATAGTACGATTTTTGTATTTTTCAAAGGATAATATTTTAAGATTACTTTTAAATGAGAGCTAAGTTTTGGTTTAGCCCTTTATAATATCATTTAAAATTGCTAATTAAATAATAATTGACTGCTATAATAAAAGTTAGAGTTTAGCTGTTGACCAGTGAGATTGGAAGTCAATTGATTTTACATTCGTTAAGCAGGGATGGAATTTTTGCCGCCTGGAAGCATCTTCATTACAGGAAATTTTTGAGAGAGAAATGTAGAACATTGACTCATCAACATTCTAAAGTATTTTTCTCTATTACGAATGTGTTTTGGGATTCAGAAACTTTTGTATTACTGTTTTATTTGTTTATTGTGTTAACAACAACAAAAATAAAAATAATATTTCGCAAAATAAAGTTACATTTATTTTCAAAGGTGATAAAAATTACCTACATAAAATCAGGTGGGCACGACG